ACGGACGGACGGACAGACGGACGGACAGACGGACTGGCGTATGGATCGACAGACTGACGTATGTATGGACGGAGAAATAAACTTATGGAGATGTCAGTGGACCGATTTTCACTGTTAACTCTGAAGTCTGACACTATTTCGCCGGTTTCTACAAAAATTGAAGATACGAGATTTTTCCTAGAAATGAAATTTATTCTCCATAATTGGATCTTTCATGAAGGTCAGATACCTTTTTTAAAAATATTTAGTAGTTTTCGCGCAATATAGTGAAATATGCGTAATATACCCAACTGCCCAGCATGCCCATTTGGACACGCGTTTGCAATATTTCATAATTTTTTCAGTGCTAATATTTATTATGAAGTTTTCAATCCTTTTGGCTTATAAAAGAAAGTCAAGAGATATCCATTTTTGGTAGAACGCTATATCGTAAGACATTTAGTTGAAATCGCTCCCTGAAATACACAGAATATTTTGTGATAAAAAATCATGGACGTCCATGTGGTGGAAGCGGGTTCTATAACATTTCTATTCTAAATGAAGTTTAATTGAATGAAAAATATTTAGAAAGGTTAACGTACGAATACATATTTTTAAAGAAAGTTTTGAAGTTATAGTTTTTTCTGTATAATGAAAAATATTTGAACATGTCCACTTGGACTGGCTGGACAGTTGTGATGAAATACCGATGCCAAAATAATATTTGAATAATACCTTCGTCTTTATTTCGCCTTCAGAGGCCAGTAAAACACACTAAATTCGGATGTCCCCGTTCAAGAGGTTCTGCATACATTTTTTTGAAGGGGGCAAGTAAAGTACCTGTATCCAAAACAAGGGACATTCTGTGCATTCCATCGTACAGACGACGGAATAATTTCCGCGAAGTGGGCTGACAACTCCGTTGTTGCTGTAGAATCAACATGTGTTGGTGTTGAGACTGTTCTCTTCAAATTGCGCCCAATAAAGTTTTTCTAAATCACCAAAGTTCTACGAAGAATGTGCTTCAAATTTCGCACTGACAGTATCGCTTAAACGATATTTTCCTAAAAGTGGCCTCAAATTTTTTAACTAAATATTCCCTACAGAACAAGGATTTACCCTTCTATAATATTCGTAAAGTAATACGTGTAGTTTGGTTCTATCATTAGGAAACTGAAGAATTGAGAAAGTTTTTAAAAAATTTAAAAAAGGTTTGGGCTGCGATCGATGGCAGATTGCAAGAGGAGAGTGGGCAAGTCCGAAAAGCTGGTCCAGACCACAGAAATTAGAAAATTAAGTAGTACGAGACAGTGTGCCAGTCAGTAGCGCCACTAGTAGGTTTTAAATTACCAATTAAGGGTCCATCAGCCTCGTTCTTTACACCTTTCCTTTACTTTTCTTTACACTTTTCCCTCTGCCCAGTTCCGTGCCTGTTACGCAGGACCAGCCTCAAGACAGGAGGCGCAGATGCGCGGCGGAATGGTGGCTATCGCGGCTGTTCGGCGAACGGCCTTCGCCGCCGCCAGGTGGGCGGCCTCGAAGAGACACGAGGAAATTCGCAGCCGCCGCCAACGGCAACACCAGCGCCGGGTTGCTCCGTACAGTGGGGCGGGTCACGATACCAACAATACAAGGTAGTACAATGCATTCCTAAAATACGAATTCGCGATACATTCGTCTCCATCCATCCCATCTTAACCTTAATTGTGAACATCATTCAGGCACCCTAATGAAATACCCCTTCTGCCTTAACCAGAGACGGATCCAGAAACAAATTTTGGGAAGGGAATTTTTTTATTCGAATGCGTTGTATTACAGATTATGTAGAATAACGCAGGCTAAACTCCGTTTATGTTGCGATAGAATTTTATTCGTTTTAAAGTCGTTGACAAGTACGAAGATATTTTTGCATGAAAGTTTCGTGACAAGTTAAAATTAATAGTTACTGAAAAATTTTGGGAGGGTAAATTTCCTTCACTGCCCTCCCCGTGGATCCGCGCCTGCCTTAACGAATTGAGTTTGAGAACTAAAATGGTTGGGAATGGTGCATATCTTTCAGAAGACATCAATATTTGTACAATTTGTTTCAAAAAGGTAAGTACTATTGATGATTTAAGCAAAAAAAAAAATTCACCCAAATCCTATCAGAAAACAATGGATTCCTCCCATTGGGTGCTATTCCGGAACATGCATTTTCTTCCCCCAAGTCGACTCTTTTTTTCGCCCAACTGACGGAACTCTGCCCAATATTCGTATGGCATCCTTGCTCTCGACCTCCGTTCGCCTAACTCAGTCGCGCGGTTTGGTTACTGTTGACGTCACATCTGTGATCCCAGAAGCGTCGCATTACAAAGCAAGTTGCCACAAGCGCGGTTCTGACGCCTAAGCACAGCACGCAGCACATCAGTTTCGCGCGGTTTTTATTAATAATGGTTTCTAGTGTGAGCATACTTAACGAAGTGGAAAGTGAGAAAAGCGAACTTTAAGAAAGTAGTGTATTCACGTTATTTTAATGTCAAGGGTTTGTGGACGAGGAGGAAAAAATACAACTTGGTTACTGTTATGGGTAATCTCGTACTAATACATCAGCTATCACTTGAGAACTAACTTAACGAAGAGCAGAAAAAAAATATCAACGCTGGATTCGAACTTATGCGAGCAAGAACATGACTATGACCGTTGCGCTAAACAGCACTAGAGTAATTTCTCTATTAATAATAATTATTATACTACGCCGGTCCGGATAGCAGAGATCGCTAAGGCAGAAGTGCTCTGGTGATCCCGGACGGAAGGATCGCCGGTTTGAGTCCCGCCTCGAACGTGGGTGTGTGCATCTTTATTATCATCAATCCATCTACCATCCCTCCAGGACTAGCAACCCTCGGGAATAAAAATTGGATTCAATACAATGCTGATCTCCCTAATAAGGAGGCACAAGCACTTGCCACGGGATAAAAGGTACTGAGCCTCGGTAAGAGCAGGTGTATATTCACGTGGTCCTAAACGGCCAATTCGCGACAAAAAATGTATTAGGAATCTTTAATGTTGCAGTTTTTCTGACATAAAATAACTCAAAAGTATGCAAAACCTTAAAACGGGAAGCTGAAATGATTTCAAGATACATTAAGATACAAATCGCATAATATATGAAATGTGAAGTTTCTTTATAAAAGATGTCAACTAGTTTGAAAACATTTAACTTTTGTAATTTTCAAAATTCTAGACGTTTGGATGTAAATAGGCCATACGGCATTTTATTAAATGAACTTCACTCTATTTGAGCAATTTCAAGAAAAAAACATTTAAAAAAGAAATATCTAGTTTTGAGCAAATCCTGTGAATGGTGAAGGTGCTTCTTTTGTCCGCAGACCGACAGACAAATATTTTGAGAAAAACAACACTGTTGGTATTGTAATCGGAGCATAATCGAATATTATCTGACCACTTGAAATTCTTTCAGACTCAGCACTGCGGACCGCAAGTGCTTCCTTTCTGCACCGTTGGTCGTTGCGCAAAATTCAACTCCTCCCCTCCAGGTTGCTCGTTCTTTCGGGTACGCAATAATGGAATACAGGCACCCGACAAAGCCAGACGTGGCGTGAGTGGCCAAGTGTAGCGTGAAAAGGGAAAGGTATATAAAAAAATTTTATATTATATTACTTCGTGAGCTTGGTAACAAGTATTTACCGAAAGAGATTCTAACGTATAACGTTCGACAAGGCTTCCTTTAAAAGAAATTAGCGTGGGAAAAAAGTTGTCTGATATTCATAACGCTCGGTTGAAATTTTTCAGCCCTCAAAATAAACCATCAATGAACACAATATGTCACAATTCACAAAAAATGCATCCGCATTAATTAACCCAAACAGCGGCATGAACAATGGTTGAATTATCTGAAAAATATCAGCTTCCAATATTGTTCAAAAATTAATACAACATCGTGTTTTAAAAAGTAAATGGGCTGCTAATATGTATGACAATCTTAATATCACTAGGTCCTAAGCGAAAATATCTTTACGAGATAAATATCCGCTTCCGAATTCAAAGAAAAATTTTTCTCATAGTCAAAACTTTGGAAGGTTCACAAAGATAGCAGCTAGCAAATAAGATAACACAACAAAGTTGTCTCAATAGCGCGCCAGAAGAGAGTCTCCGCAGTGGTACGATCGGTGGAGATCGGTTGGAGCTGGAACCGTAGAAAATTTCCTCTCTGGAAGAGTTTAATTAATAGCCCAAATATAATTAACACACTTCGTTTCAAATTTGGACATTCCAGGCCAATGTATTACGTCCTTCCTCTTAACTTTGATTTGGCTGCATGAGGCGTAGCATTCATGTGAGAAATTATGGCCCCCGAAGAAAGAATGCTGATAGCTAGTTAAGGAATGTCGATGGAAGGAGATTAATTTTAGCTCCAATGCTGATCACTGACGTACGTCCTTCAGCTGTTAAAACTGAATCTTGCTTCGAAGGGTTTGAAATCGTAATAGATCTTCAAAGAAATATTCAGAAAGTAGAAATAGTCACAAACGAAATAATAACTTTCTGGCAGCACTCAGTGACATTTAAGTGAGCTCGTGAGTGACAGGGTTATTTGAAAACTCTCAGAGTGCATTACGCTACGCTTAAATTGTAAAATAAAAGTACAGATTTAAGACTTTTAATTGTGGATTTTATGTGGGAACTAAATGTGTCTTATTACTCCATTATGAATTCGCTTTGCTTCCCAAATTGTTAACTTATCTCTTACTTTCCTGTCAAACCGCTACCTCATTCACGTGACGTTGGTACACGGTGGCTTCGGTGGTGACAGTTGTACCGAAGTCCGCGGGTATAAATTAGATCGAAGACGTGGATTTTTAAGGCCGAAAATGTCCATCGTACGCCACCTTTCGGAGGGGAAGTAAATCCAGCAGTCTCGTGTTGTATATTTACTGCATGAAAAATGTGTTCTTTTAACACTTAAAATCGAGATTCATCGTAAAGTCACAAGTTCCGAGCGTCAGACGCTCGCTTTACCTCCACCGAGCGCTTTTCGCTCGGGACGTCGAGGCGAGCGAAGAGCTGTCACACTGCGCTGTAATCTAGCGCATTTTGTGTAACACTCACGGCGCTCCAACGTGAGCGTTTCGTGCAAGACCATTAGTATGTAGTCAAGCGCAGACCTCGCGATAAATTCGTCATACGCTGAAATAATACTTTCTCGTCTCACTGTCACCGTTTGGGCCACAAGGACGTTAGCGCCCACGTTAGCGCCCACTGCAGCGTGCCGCCGCCGCCGCCAGGGGCTTCCCCGAAGCGTGGTGCGTCGCGCCGGACGGCCCCGGGCGCCGGTCCAGCGCAGGCTGTCGACGCGCGCTGCTGCGGCTGCGGTCTCCGCCAAAGAGAAGTACTGCAACTTGTCTCCGCGCTTCGTCGGCGAGGTTCCTAGGCCACTGGGCTTTCGCGGGCCACGCTCCAGTAACGAAGCCACGATTCACAGCACTGCTGGAGCCAGAATTCAGAGACTGCGATCCTCAAAGGTGCTAAGCGCTAAAGGTACTTCTTGCCGCTTACGGAGAAAATCACGGATGAGGATAAAAGCCCGTTTCAAAAATATCTGACGATCTCCATAACGCCACAATACCATCTAGCCATGAACTTAAGTAGGACCCCCTACTATTTATTGGAGCTTAGTAGACAAAGTTAAGTAAAGTACATCACATTTTAATCATCAATTTCTCTATATAGAGTGCATGTAGTTTTATACCAGCGTATAGCGCAAGCAAGAGAAATAAATTAGTAAATGAATAAAAAGGAAGATCTTAATTCTAAATGGCCATACTTTTAGGCATACGCAGCAATTCCCATGGGGCTGCATATATGATTAAGAAAATAAATAAAATGTTCTTTGCGCCATGAAATGTAAGTGAAGAAATTAAGTAATTCCTGCAATTTATAATACTCAAATAAAACTGATTCATTAAATACACACTTAATTGTTCAGCAATTCCGTAAAAATTTCGTTTTACCACCAATGCTATTTTGATGCTTCCAATTCATTGGTACTCACTATGACTCTGAAATGGGACCTTAACGAAATGCTCGACGAAGTAACTCGACATTTTTAAGAAACATTTTAGAAAACCTTGTTTTTACAATTGCCTTTAACAAACATACACGAACGCCAATCATATGAGTATTTTCAAACAACTGAATATGACATTTTAAATATTAGTTTTCAACAACAGATTTCATTAAGAAACACTCGGTGCTAAATAGAGCGTACTTTTCTCACCCTTAGAAACAGTTACGTAATATTATTATACAGCAATTTCTGTCCATATTAACACATAGTAATTTCTAAAAATTACAAATTGTAGAACAAGGTGCAAAAATTAATTCTTTCAAAGCTAATATGTCAACATAAATTTGTCAATGATAACTTTGTTTTTATACTAGCTATAACATCTTGCAACAATGACAAGGAATTTTCTCAGTTTTGTAACTGCCGCGTCGCAGTGCGGCGTGCGAAGTTGACGTAATGTAATCTGGCAACTTCTGAAATATTCTAGCAAAAGTAGTGCGAGAAATGTCGAATCTGCAATTTCGAAAATAGATAAAAACTCAAAAGGACAAAGAAAAATGGGCAGACAGATAGATGGACGGATAGATGGAGAGAGAGAGAGAGGGAGAGTGTGTGTGTGAGGGAGAGGGAGAGGGAGAGTGTGTGTGTGAGAGAGAGGGAGAGGGAAGTGTGGGTGAGAGAGGAGGAGATGTGTGTGGAGAGAGTGTGAGAGAGAGTTGAGTGTGAGAGGGAGTTGAGATGTGAGGTGAGAGGGAGTGTGAGTGCTGAGAGGGAGTGTGAGTGTGAGAGGGGAGTGTGAGTTGAGAGGAGTGTGGATGTGGAGAGGGATGTGATGTGAGAGGGATGTGAGTGTGAGAGGGAGTTGTAGTGTTGAGAGCTGGAGTGTGGAGATGTGAGAGGAGTGTGGTGTGAGAGGGTGCGTTGGGTGAAGGGAGTGGGTGTTGAGAGGGAGGTGTGTGTGAGAGGGATGTGTTGTGTGAGGATGTGTGTGTGTGAGAGGGAGTGTGTGTGTGTAATGGAGTGTGGTGTGTGTAGAGGAGTGTGTGTGAGTGAGAGGAGTGTGTGTGTGTGAGAGGAGTTGGTGGTGAGAGGGAGTGTGTGGTTGTGAGAGGATGTGTGTGTGGTGAGAGGATTGTGTGTGAGAGTGTGTGAAGGGGAGTGTGTGTGGGGGTGCGTGTGAGAGCAGGTGTGTGTGTGAGGCGATGGTGGTGGTGAGAGGGGTGTGTGTGTGAGAGGGAGTGTGGTGTGGGTAAGGGAGTGGTGGTGAGAGGAGTTGTGTGTGTGAGAGGGATGTGTGTGTGAGAGGGTAGTGGTGTGTAGGGAGGTGTGAGGAGTGTGTGTGTGGAGGATGGTGGAGGGATGTGTGTGTGAAGGGAGTGGTGGTAGAGATGGGAAGGGAGTTGTGTGTGAGAGGGAGGTGTGTGTGAGGTGAGAGAGGAGGGGTGTGTGTGAGAGAGGGGGTGGTGTTGAGGGGTGTGGTGAGAGAGGAGTGTGTGTGTGAGAGAGGAGTTGTGGTGTTGGAGAGGGAGTGGTTGTGTGAGAAGGGAGATGGGGTTGAAAGGGAGGTGTGATGTGAGCAAGCAGTTTGTGAGAGAGGGAGTGTGTGTGTGAGAGAGGGAGTGTGTGTGTGAGAGAGAGAGAGGGAGTGTGTGTGAGAGAGAGGGTGTGTGTGTGTGTGTGTGAGAGAGAGAGAGAGAGAGAGAGAGAGAGAGAGAGAAAGAAACAGAAGGGCAGAATATTTTGTAATACTTTTCAGTCAATTTCAGATCACTTAAAGATTCCTCTAAAAATATATGGTTGGAAAATATATTGAAATCTTACACTAGCAATGTAAATGTACAACTTCTTGACAGTAAGTTACTCCTGTCCCTTTCCAGGGATGCATCAAACTTATTTAAGATGAAAAAGTTTGAACTTCGCAGCTTATTTTAAAAGGAGCGTAGCAGGCGCATATGCAACCCGCATTTCACGTTAAATTGCAACATTAGCATCGCCCATAACGCTGACACTAAGCGTCCTTGGCATGGGTTTCCTGGGTTTCGTGTCCCTTGGGACTTGTTTCTTATAGCGAAATCTTCAAAATGAGATTTTTCGGTACGTTCTTTTATATGATTGAAGGGTATCGCCCTCCGTAACACCGGATGTAATAAACGTACTAAGCTGTTAAGCAATGTTTTAATTTCTATAACAATGATTTTAAAAAGTGCCGACTATTTGCTCGGATCTAACAATTCATTACATTGTGAACAATTTCTTTCTTCTTGCGACTTGGAGCCATGGAGGTAAAATTCATGACGTGTGGAGGTAAAATTCAGAGAGGAAGATAAAATCCATGACGTAAGAGTCCTTTCCGAAATTATGTTTCATCTAATTGTTCACTGGCTCCAACAGTCAGGTTGACTGAATTGAACACCTGTGGTGAAAATTTTCTCTATAGGGAATTGAATCGAAACACGCAGGTCGAATATCATATGAATGTGAAATAGAAATGTGCACTCAAGCTGGCAACACTACAATGCACACATAATATAGAGTGATTTTTTAAAATCCTAACAGTTCAATGAATCCTGAAAGGCGTGATGAAAGATAAGTTTCTAATAAAATTAAGTTTTGAAGAGCCCATTAGTACTAATTAATTGCTAGATACGGTAGTCATTTTTGCGAGGAACGTACGAGTACTTATGTTTTTGCAGTGGGACGTTATAGTTATCTAGTGGTATGCTAGTAGTAGTTATCTAGTAGCATGCTAAAAGCCAAACATTTTTGCAATGAGCTTGCAGTTCTAGTCACTGGCGGTCGAACAATTATCTGATCTATGGATACAAGGTCATGAATAATGGTAAGAAGCAACATAAATTCACGAATGTGTGCATTACATAATGCTTTTCAAGTAAATTACTTGTGTTACATGCTTCAATTTACACACCTACCCAAAAAATCTCCAGTATTGAGTGTTCCACACGAAACCTAATGTCAACCGCTGGCACGGTGATGACCATTTTTTAACAAAGTTTCTGCACAAATGTTTCTTAAAGCTACATACGTGTAATTCCGCTTATCTACTTCAGTGTACAAAATCAGATGCATAAAACATATTTCGCGAGATGCGTTTCATTTAAAAAAAACTACGTGACTTAACTAATGCACAACTGGATGAATGTGACTGATCGGTAGCAGAGTATAGTTTCAGTCAAGTGGTCTGGATCGAGCAAGAAATTTGATCCATAGATCATAAAACTAGAAAACTGCTTAGAATGCATCATATCGCCCGCCCTCAAGCTGATGTACATAGACTATGGGCTACGTAAGGAAAGAAACCTAAGGAATGAAGCCTCTTGGCAAAATGCAGTAGTCGGGATGGCTAATATGTAGTCCTCAAGATGACTATGAGGTAGGTCATTAAATCTGGCCTACAAATGCGAAACAGAGGCATTGCATGATTAGCGAGAAGTACTGCGAAAAAAACTATGGAAGACACATAGAAGACACAGTTACTGAACTTCTGATGCTACTTCTCGCGAAATGTGAGTCAAAAATGTTTAAAAAATCGTGGGGGCAAACTGCTCAATGGACAATATTTAAAAAGAATGTACAGTCAAGATCAATCACCTATGTGGCTTAAAATGAATGGGATGAATGAAGTAGTTGTTATAGCTACCTGAGATCAGGCGTAGAGAACACGACTTTGTGATAAAGCGATTCTCAAAATTCCCCACGATGCCAAATGCAGATCTGCTAGAAACAAGTAAAAACTATTGATCACGTCGCCTCAGCTTGTCCATTTGTAGCAAAGACTACATGAAAATATACGAGAGAGTGTGTTGTTACCTCCACTAGTGCGTCAATAAACCTGACTACTTTTATATATTGTTATGGCGTGCCATCAAAACGTCGTAATCAAGGAAGCAGAGAAACGTCTTAAATACAAAGGTTTGGAAATCGAATGCAGCAGAATATTGGGCGTAAAAGCACAGGCCGTCCCGATAGTTTTCGGAGCACTGGGATTTGAATCGCAAAATTTGTGGAAGTACTGGGCAAACTCCAAGGTCATTCAAAAGACTGAGAAGAGTAAGACAATGCTTTATTGGGAACAGTTGCCATTTGCGGAAAATGTTGTAGAAGCACCAACAGTCCCTAATCTGTTCCTTAAAGAAGCTGGTTGCAACCTGAATTACATTTTACATTCAACCGATTCATAACATTTTTAGTTGTGAAGTAGAGGAATAATTATAATAATAATAATAATAATAGTAATAACAATAATAATAACAATGTTAATAATGATAAGACGCAGTGTTAA